CAAGCAAAATAATAATGATAATAATCATAATAACACCCATCAGGCTTTAACTTCGTTCATATATCAGTCTGCAAAGTGAAAAAAGATGTACACTCTGAACTTGTGAGAAACATATGGTAAAAATTGTAGGAGAGGGTTCAAGAACGTCGTTGGAAAATTCGAATATCTTCGAAGATCCTTGAAGAACAACTTCGAATTCTCTAAAAGATAATGAGAGGCTTAGATTCTTCAATAGTCTCAACTCAAGAACACAAGAGTAAAGGAGATGATGGAGATAAGAGATTGGGTGAAGAAGAAGGCAAAATGACTAGAGAGAGAATAATGGCAAGGCTCTTCCATGGATCTCCCACTTTCACTCTCAAGGTTGATAATGGAGAAGGGAAATTAGTTCTTTCCCAAGAGTAAATTTTCCAAAATCCATCCCTTGTAAAGTTATGGGTGGGTGCTATTTATAGGCACCTCATGATATAGGATAGAGCCCATGTGCAAGGCACATGGGGAATGTTCTCTCTAACCACCTTGTCCGAGGAGGTGACCTCTCCGAGGATGAGGAAAATCCCGAAGAGGAGATCAACCTCTCGGCGAACCCTTCTTCTTAGCCACACCTAACCAATGATCCCCAATCATCCCAAAGGGTCAGGGGTAGTCCCAAAGGACGTCCTGCCGCATAAGGGTCAAGGATAGTTCAAGAGAACGCCCTGCCGCAAATATTGCCAAGTCTCAAGGACCCCCTAGATCGTGCCACCTCGACCCGGGTATAGGCTAGTTTAACCGAAGAGTGAATTTATCTCCACTCACCGTCCTCGGGATCGGGTCCTTTGTTCAAACTCCATTACGCCCATGGTTTTGGTGCGTAGATCCCAGAAAGCTCCGAGCCCGCAAGTATTCTGGGACTCATTAACGGAGCGACTTCTAGATTACGTCTGAATCCGTTCGAAGTCAAGTGCTTCGGATCTCTAGGTTCGTGGATCCGAACCCTTTCGAGTCCGAGTGCCTTGGATCTCTAGGCTTGCTCAATACCCTTTCAAGTCCGGACCCGAGTAACTCTCTAAGTTCGTGGATCCAAATCCTTTTGAGGCTTAGAGAGATTTGGCCCGTTTGACGGCGATAAATCCGGACCCACCAATCTTGGACTTGCGATAAATTCGGCCCACCAACCTTCGACTATTGGGCCTAATTAATTTAGTGGGCCCAAAATTAGCGCCTCTTACATTTTCCCCTTGCATGTATGAGAAATTGTAATTTTCTCAGACATGCATAGTTTCACATTATCAGCCATGCTTCGCATTTCATCTTCAGGAATATTTGATCTTGACAGAGTGCAAGGATAAAGCTGAGGATTCACCGTAAATTATGAGTAAAACTGACAACTAAAAAAAGATAATAAAAAAAAATCTTTTTTATCTTCATGCCACGTTTGGCGCATATACACCTTCATGCTTTTGATCTCACGAAGAAAAACAAATCAAAATTTAAATATTTAATGATCCACCCACTAAAATTGATCAAGAATTAAATTCTCCTTTCCAGGAAATGGTCAAACCCATATATTTTTTCTGTTGGTCTTATCTTATACCTTTGTTTGGGCCCACGCAGCTTGTTTTCATCATTTTGATTTAGATGCCTTTTGAAGCCAAATAAACCCATCAAAGAAATAAATTCTTCCTAGCAAACAAACAGGCCTGGAAAGGTTGGGCCCCTTATATATATATATATATATATACATGTATATATAGAATATCTGAAGGCAAATTCCATGTATCACACCACTTTTTTTTTTTTTTTGGTCTATTTAAAGAAAATGACAGCAACCCTAATCAATAGCTCCTTCTTTTTCTTCATCTCGCGGCGCACACACTCTCTCACTAAAACATTGAAGAGCTAGATTTCATCTTCTTTAATGAAGGTCTGCTGCTACAACACCAGAGGCCAACATCATATCAGAGTTTCTTCATGTTTTTGCATCCCATCGAAGACCACTGCCGCCGGCCTCCTCCTTTTATTCTCCGTCACTTCAACTGGGACTGCACACTGCCGTCAACCATCACCATTTCTTGCAGTAGCTTTGTTACAACACAGACCTTATCCACGTCATTGAGCACCCGTCGGTCCACGTGACAGCCAATCGAAGTTCCACTGTGTGACCATCTAGCTCACACGGCTTACTTCACGCTCTCCACCTGCAACTTCACCACTGTCTTCAGCCGTGATTTAGCCAACGCCGACCACGCCGCCTTTTCAACGTGGCGTTGGTCTGCCCAGCTACTCCGTAGCTTGCACACCGCCTGCTGCCGCCGTCAACCATAGCCTAGGGACACAGCAACTCAGCCCTCTCCGTCGCGGCCTTGCCTGTGCTGGCCCTACGCATGCTGCTTGAGTCCTGCGCCGCTGATCTACTCAACTGAGTGTTGTCGGTTCACGTATGCCTTGTTCGCACCGCAGCCCTGCCTTGCTCCTCTGCTCCAAGCACTGTCATCACCCGACGCTGTCGGCCTTCAAGGGAACCAGCCGCGATCTTGCCTTGCACATGCGACCATCCAACTCGCGTATCCTGCGTGCTTTGTGTCCGACATCTACGACCTCACTGTTACTTCTAGCCGTGACCGACCAACGCTGACCACCTTTCTCTGCTACAACTTTGCCTTCGTCTTTGGTTATCCAGCGCTTTGCTTTCGTCTTGTGCTGTTCAACGCGAACCACACGTCGCCCACTCAACGCGACATGTGTGGTTTTGCCTAACACCATCCAGCTAGTTATTCTCACAGCCCAACGCTATTTTTTCGGAGTTCGAATCATATAGATCTCGATTTTTTGCATGCTCACTGGTTTCGGCCGTGATTAATCAACGCGAACCACGTCGCCGACTCAACGCGACGTCGGTTTGCCTATCTCCTTTCTCGCCCACTGTCCGTCCTGTCAGACTTGACCCACACTGCTTTTGGTCTTCATTCTCTTTCTACTGCTTCGAATTTGTGAGCAAGTGTTCACCGAAACACCATTCTTGAATTTTTTTGATTTTTCTGATACATAAAAATATATATATATATATATATATATATATTGTTGCTCATGAACCAGGGCTTGCAAAGAATAAATTTGGGATTTGTGCTTCTTGACTTCTGAATAGCTAGTGCTTGATCATTGAGGGAAATAAAACCCTTGTTGAACCTTGATTTGCATGAGAAATATAGTCTTGAAATTCATGACTTTGTGTTGATAAATCTGATATTAATAGAATATTTGATGGTTGCATTGAACTATTGATGTCGAGGGCATAGATGTTATAGGAATGATTGTTGTTTCTAGCTTCAAGAATAGTGGATGTCATGCTCGACAACTTTTGATGTAGAATTCCCAATAGAATTTGTTGATATGATGACATACCTTGTCAAAGAACAAAAAATGATATATTGTTGTTTGTTGAACTTGTAGATGCTCGGAAGATAAATAATTGATGCCCGATGCTGAGATTTTGTTTGAACATTATTGCTTTACATGGGCTAGAGAGGAACTGACCTGGGAAGACAACACCTTGATTGTTGCATTTTTCATGAACTCACTCAGAGGAATAAAATTGTTGTAGCTTAAATAGATCAATATTATTTGTTGATGTTGCCCCATTCCGATAATGCCTAAATCAGGATATGAAATTGATATTACTCATCTCATTTGTCGGTTTTACTATTTCAAGCAAATAAATTTTTGTGCGAAATCCACGACCCCGAGGCCTTCAGAATCTTTAATAATGAGAGCAAGGGCTATCCTTTGAAAGTCTGAACGAGAGCAAAACTGTCCCTTAGGAGTCCGAAAGTAGCATACACCCTACTTCGGAAAGAAAGATCCCCCTAGACGGCAACCGAGTCTACCAAGCTTGCACCAATAGAAGTAAAGATTGTCTCTTAGAAGTCCCAGCAGAGGCAAGGCTGTCCCTCAGAAGTTCGAGCAGAAACAAGGTTGTCCCTCAGAAGTCCGAGCAGAAACAAGGCTCTCCCTCGGAAGTCCGAGTGGATTGCACTTCTACTTCGGCAACTAATGGAAGCAAAGGCTATCCCTCGGGAGTTCGAGGAGGAGTCCACACTACTTTGAAAAGAAAGATCCTCAGAGCTCGTATTGATGAATGCAAGGGCTGTTCTTCGAACCCGCACTAATAAGAGTAAGAGTTGTCCCTCGACAGTTCAAATAGAAGCAAGGCTGTCCCTCAGGAGTTTGAATAGTGGCACACACCCTACTTTGGCAAAAAGATCCTTGAGGCTCGCACTGATAGAAGCGAGGTCTGTCCTTCGAAAGTCTGAGTGGGAGCACACACTCTACTTCAACAAGAGAGATCCTCAAAGCTTGCATTGACAGAAGTAAGGGCTATTCTTCGAAAGTCCGAGTGGGAGCACACACTCTACTTCAGCAAAAAAGACCCTCAAAGCTTGCATTGATGGAAGCAATGGCTACTCTTCGGAGGTCCAAGTGGGAGCATACACAATTTCAACAACTAATGAATGCTGTCTCTCGGAAGTCCGAGTGGGAGTACAATTTTACTACGTCAAGAAAAGTCCCTTCAGGTTGGTAATCGAGTCTACTATTCCTCTTTCTTCTTCGAGGGACAGTAAAAAATTGAAAACTGTTTCAAGCAACATAACACAATGAAGATATACAATGTAGAGAAAATAACTGATAATGGAGATACATAATATAGAGGAAATAACTTTCTTCATAACATAAGAAAGAAAGATAGAAAATTTTTAGATAATGTAATAAATACATATTGTAAATGTCATAGATAGACTTCCTCTACGTAATGTTGAAATTTGCCCCTAGAGTTGCAAGATCATTTGGAAAGCTTTCACCAGTTGCTCGGGTTGTGGCCATCATGCACCATCATAGCCATGTCTTTGGATCTTTCTGTACAGACTGATATCCCCATCCCCGCAAGACTTTTCATGGATCTGTTGTAGTCGGAAACTTGCTTCTTGTTGGCCAACACACTGGGCTAGGAATCCGGTACCTCCTTAGAAGTAAAGTTCACCTTGAATAATTATGAATTGGGCAAGCTTGGCCATAGTCAATTTTCCAACTTTGCTTCTAAGTTGTTCGAGGACTTCTCCTCTCCAGTCCTCTGGAAGGCCTTTGTCTTCAGGTATTATCGAAGGCTTTGTTCTCTTCTTGATAATAATTGTCGCCTCCTCCTCTGGGATATCAACTCTTGCCCCTAATGTAGCGAGGGCATTTGAAAACTTGTTGTCGGAACGAGGCACATGCTCTATTTCGACCTTCTGAAATTTGTCAAGAAAGCTTTGGACTGTTGTTCGATATGTGGCCAAGGCAGGCTCCTTTAAGATGAACTGTCCTGAAACTTGCTTCACTATCAACTTTGAGTCCCCCCGAATCCGAATCTTCTTGATACTGTGCTTCTCAGCTGCTATCAAGCCTAAAATAAGAGCCTCATACTCAGCTTCATTATTCGAACAATGGAAATCCAGTTTATAAGACAAATATAACTTTTCCCCACTTTTGCTTGGAAGGACTATCCCGGTTCCTCATTTACCTCCGGATGCTGCTCCGTCAAAGCTCAATGTCCAAAAGCTTTCCTCGGAAGCCATAGCTGCATGCACCTCTCATTTTAATTCTTCATTCACTAGTTCATAGTCACCACTTGGAAATTGAGCAAGGAGGTCAACTAAGGCTTGGCTTTTGATCGCCTTGGGGGCTACACATTTGATCTCGGATTCACCCAGTGCTAACAACCATCTTGCCACTTTCTCGGTTAGAGCAGGCTTGCTGAGGAGGTATCGGATTGGATCACTTTTAGTAACAATCTGAATCTGATGTGCTAAGAAGTAATGTCTGAGCTTTTGGGCGGTGAATACCAGAGCTAAACAATGTCTCTTTATCGGAGTATATCGGACTTCTGCTCCTCGAATCTTCCGGCTGATGTAATACACCGGGCGTTCTACTCCATCTATATCTTAGACCAATAATGCCCCTATGGACTTGGGGGTTGAAGTTAAGTACAACATTAGAGGCACCCTAGGCTGCGGGGCTATCATGGTCTGAGGCGAGGTCAAGGCCGCCTTGATTCTCTCGAAAGCCTTTTGGTGCTCCTGGTTCCACTCGAACTTAACATCTCCTTTTAACAATGAGCCGAAAGGGGCAGAGATCTCTGCAAGTGCTGGGATAAACTTCCGAATATAAAACACCTTCCCGAGGAACTTCTCTAACTCCTGAGAATGCGGGGGAGGCATTACTCTGATAGATTTGACCTTGTCTTCATCTGCCTCGATACCATGTCTGTGTACAAGAAACCCGAGAAACTTCCCAACCGTCACCCCGAAAGCACATTTGAAAGGATTCATCCTCATTTTGAATTTTTGGCATCTCTTGAATACTTTCTCAAGGTCTCGGAGATGGTCATCTTCTTTCTTGGATTTCATCACTAGATCATCAACATAATCTTCCACCTTATGATGGATCATGTCATGAAAAATTACAGTCATAGCCCTTTGGTAAGTTGCTCCGGCATTCTTGAGTCTGAAAGGCATGACTGTATAAAAGAAGTTTCCGAGAGGTGTTCTAAAAGCAATCTTTTCTGCGTCCTCTTCAGCCATCTTAATCTGATTGTATCCACTAAATCCATCCATGAATGAGAACATCTGGTGTCCCGAGGTGGCATCCACGAGGCTGTCGATGTGAGGAAGAGAGAATTCATCATTCGGGCAAGATTTGCTCAAATCTCGAAAGTCTGCACATACTCTGATTTGACCATTCTTCTTCTTTACTGGCACTATGTTTGCCAACCACGTGGGGTACTGTATTGGCCGGATGAAACCAGCCTGTTGAAGTTTTTTCAATCTCCTCCTTAATCTTCTCTTCGAGATCTGGATGATACTTTCGAGCAGCTTGCTTAATTGGCTTGGAGTTTGGGAACACATCAAGATAATGAGAGACTGGATCAGGATCTAGTCTGGGCATTTCCTTATATGACCAAGCAAACACATCTGAATACCGGCTTATCAACTTTAACAACTATTCCCGCTTGTCTGGGTTGAGGCTCGAACTTATGAATATCGGTCTCGGTGCATCTTGTCTATCACTCAGATCTATTTCAATAAGTTGTTCGGGCTGAGGCTTCGGCCCATCTTGCCTGCATTCTGGAGCCACTTTAGGCTTTATCACTATGTCATTGTCAGGAGGCTCTTCTTTTGACTCGGAGTCGGTGACTAAAGAAACCGACTCCCCGCACCTTCATAAATAGTACACCATCTTGCCCCCTTCTCGGACTTTCATCACCTTCCGAGGAATAGGCAGACTTTCTGGTCTAGAGATCGCCCGTTTACTTGATTCTGCCCTTGGCTCCTTGTCATCTTTGATATCCCCCAACGAGGAATTTTGACCCCCCGAGGCTTAGAGGTGGTGGGAACTTCTTCGGCAGCCAGTTCGGTGAAGTAGATGGCATCAGAATAATGAGCTTCATGGATCTCGAAAGGCCTTTCTGTAGCTTGAATTGTCACCGTCTTCTTTCCCCATTTAGCCTTAACACATTGATGATAACTCGATGGTATAGCCCCATATCTATGCATCTAGGTCCTCCCTAGGATGATGTGGTAGTTTGCCTCGGAATCGATAATATGGAACTTGGTGGTCGAGCGAATCTCTCCGACGGCTAAATCAACAGTTACGCATCCGATAGTAACTCTCCTTTCTCCACCGAAGCCAGTGATGACTATCGGTTGCTTCACAATGCGCTCTTCAGAGATTCCGGCCTTTTCTAGAGTAGCGCAAGTCATAATGTTGATAGAGGCTCCACTATTTAGAAAGGCCCTTTTGAACTCAACCCCGTTAATAAAAACAGTCACATAAAGCGGGCGATTGTGAGAAAAAAGATACTTTCGATCAGCCTCGGAGAAAGTAATGGCACTAGATTGCTCTTTTGCCTTCCTTGGGATAGATCCCTTAGTCGACATGCATTCCTCATGGTGTGCCTCAACTATATTAATGATAGACTTGGTGATTTCTCTTCTTGCCTCCCTGGAAAGTCCAAGCTGGTCAAAGAACTGCTTGAACTTTACACAGTCTTGCAAGGTTTTGGCATAGTGATCCGGTTCTTTTTCCACTCTTGGAGGCTCGTAGTTAACCATCTCTTCGGTCTCTTCAAAATAAGATGCCACATAAACATGGTGTCCTCATCTTCCGTAGTACTCTTCTTCTCCTTCTGGATCAAAGGGATCGTCGACATGAGTTATGAAGGTTCTGCCCTCTGGATCAAGAGCACTTCCGTAGTAAACTTGCTCACCCTCGGGCTCGAGGATGTCGTCCAGATAGTAATCATCGTCATCGAGATTGGCGATAGCCTCAATTATCGGGCCTTCATAAGCTATCATAGCAACATTCTTGCCCTTGTCTCGGTGCTGAGGATATGGTTGTTCTCTGATATATTGAGTCCCTTGCTTTTTGAACCTCAATTCGTCTGCCTTGACTTTATCTCTGAAGATTTTCCTGAGAGTCCAACACTTCTCTGTCGGATGTTTCAATGTATGATGGTAGACACAAAATTCAGGGCTGTTGCGGTCCTTTTTTGATGGCATTTCTTCCACATAAGGCAATTTTAGCTCTCCGTCGGCCACCCATTCCTTAACTAGAGCTTTCACTTCCTCGATTCCACATGGATAAGAAACATTCCCCTTTTCACCATTATATTTCTTTCTCTTCTGGCCTCTATGACCTCCTCCTTGTGACTTTCGGGTATCTGGGGCAGAGGCAGCAGCAATAATAGGTCCACGAGACAATTTGAAGCTAGTCTTGTAACTGGCCTTAAATCCGGACTCCTGAGCCTAAGGAATGCTAATGTTCCGAGCTTCGGACAGAGTTTGGGGCCAAATTAACATACCAACTACATGCTCGGTCGGTGAGGGACTTAAAGAATTCTCTCAGCCCGAGGACGTGGTTTGAACCATGAATACCCAGAGTCTCGATGAATCGCACAACATGTTCTCGAGCATTTCCTTGTTTGCCATCGAACTTGAGGAGTTTTGGCACTGTATACCCCTCAGGGTATGGATAGCTCAGCATCTCAATGGGGTAAGGCGGCTTGACATCCGGATCAGGCAAAGAGGGTAAAGTCCTCTTGCCCCATTCGAGATCGAACATGGCTTGTACATCGGCGAGAGTGAGAAACTGTTGAGGGAGAGAGTTTGATGGGGGTATTCCCAGAGCTTGGCTTATGGACCCAAAGACTGAGCTAAGGGCGACTTGGCTATTCTGGTGCTGCGAATTCATCATTGGTGAGGACATTTGATGATACTGGCCATCAATGCCTACAGACAAGCCAGTTGGTGATGGGACATTGAATTGAGGCCCTTAAAGTCCACCGCATGGCGCCGCTATACCGGGTTATGCTTGCAAATTTGTTGTTGGCACCAAAGGAGGCCCGTTTGGTGCTTGGGTAACATTTACTGGTGGCGTAACAAGATTAGGTACGGGCAGAGCTCCCTTTTGCGCCATCATGCTCCTCATGTTTTCCTGGACACCAACAATCACCGGAGCCCCATTCATTACACCAGAACCTCCCCTAGTCACCATTGGATCTTGGCTTGGCACGCCATGAAGCCCGGGCGTGGGCAAACTGCTGCCGCCTACTGCGGTTTGAGCATGTGTTACTGTGACCGTGTTTCCATGAGCCATGGGCTGACTGGTGCCTACTTCTTCTTGGATTTGATTTTGCGCTCCGGCGGGAATGACTCCACCACCAGCTTGATTTTCGTTTGGCACCGGTGCAAAATTAGAACTCATCACCAACATGGTGTGAGTGGATTTTGAAGAGTGGTAAAAATCTCTTGCTGAGTATTTTGAAGTCTTTGAATGGCTTCAAGCAAAAGTGGTCGATCTGGAGCCATGGTCTTGTCATCACCACCATTAGAGGATCCTTGTTGGTGAACTTCATCTTCTCCTGCCATCCTTGTTGGAGTTATGTAGATTCCAGATCTCGTTGAGACCATTAACCAATCCGCGTCCCCAGCAGAGTCACCAAAATGTAGGAGAGGGTTCAAGAACGTCGTTGGAAAATTTGAATATCTTCGAAAATCCTTGAAGAACAACTTCGAATTCTCTAAAAGATGATGAGAGGCTTAGATTCTTCAATAGTCTCAACTCAAGAACACAAGAGTAAAGGAGATAATGGAGATAAGAGATTGGGTGAAGAAGAAGGCAAAATGGCTAGAGAGAGAATAATGGCAAGGCTCTTCCATGGATCTCCCACTGTCACTCTCAAGGTTGATAATGGAGAAGGAAAATTAGTTCTTTCCCAAGAGTTAATTCTCCAAAATCCATCCCTTGTAAAGCTATAGGTAGGTGCTATTTATAGGCACCTCATGATGTAGGATAGAGCCCGTGTGCAAGGCACATGGGGAATATTCTCTCTAACCACTTTGTTTGAGGAGGTGAGCTCTTCGAGGATGAGGAAAACTCCGAAGAGGAGATCAACCTCTCGACGAACCCTTCTTCTTAGCCACACCTAATCAATGATCCCCAATCATCCCAAAGGGTCAGGGGTAGTCCCAAAGGACGTCCTGCCGCATAAGGATCAGGGGTAGTTCAAGAGAACGCC